CTCATAATAGATACAGTTGAACTTCATTAGTCATGGCTTCTCACTATAGAACATCAAGAAATACATCTTCAAATCAATTACTATTGAGTACATCATAATTATTTTCTTCATATGCTTCATTTAAATTTAATCAATAATTCAATGAATCATTAATGCATATTTTAATCAATAAAGAAAAATATGCCATAAACCACACTAGATTAAGTTGTAGTTGTGTGTTTTTTTGTTGTTGTTGAAAGAAATTTACAAAAAAAACGGAGAAAAATATCGATTTTATTGAACACACTTTTTTATTATCACTAAGTATAAATGTATGTTTATTATGAGTTCATGACTTTGTGAAATATTGATTAGTTCATTCAATTGATTATGAAATACCATTAAGATTTAGTCAACAACAACACCAACAACAAGAATCTATGTGTCTTTGAAATTTATAAAGTAAGAAAAATATTGCTCTTGTTAATTATAGTTTCATTATCAGTTCATTCAAAGATAAATAAAGAAGAACATTCATAATTGATTGATCACTAGATGGTGATCAATGTCATGTGTGTCAAGGCCTTATTACTAGTGCAAATCGAATGCTATCGATCATGTTGCAATGTGATCACTAGTCTAGGTGACTCGACACTGCGGGCACTATATATTGAGATTAGATGGTAGTTGGAGGTAGTCGACAGGAAACCATGGACCCGGGTTTCCCGCTACTTGACACTCGTCAGCAAGATGTACCTGTAATCTTGGGGGAACCGGTGCTCTCTGACGGATTCGATCCCGTGTCACCCAGCTTCACAGTCAGAGACGTTGCCACTGAGCTATCCGGGCAGCGACTGACCTCCTATATGACTGAGATGTAATCACAATTGATTGATCACTTGGTGGTGATCAATGTCATCTATATCAAGTCTTTATTTCTTCTATGACAGTGCTAATTTACGATATCGCCTCACTAGATTCGAACCTATTACTTATCAGTCTCATGCGCGAACGATTAACATCTAGACCACTGAGTCAGTTGACATCCAATGGTGATAATATCTAACTTCAACTAATCCACGAAATTGAGCCATATATCATTGTCATCAGTGAGTTACTATCTCACAACAGACCCGGTTGAACTCCACTGGTTACTGCTTCTCACTAGAACTCCAGGATATATCTCTTGAAGCCAGTCACTAGTGATGGATGCGCACTGTCACGGAGGAGTCTCTCAATAAGATGAGACGGCTGTCCAGTGCTTCCAGGTTTTCCATGGTGGTCTAGCTTTAATTGATTCATCATCTCAACTCTTAAAATGTTTTTGTTACAATAATTAAAGGTCATAGTGGTGTAAAAAAAAATAAATAAAGTGATATGATGATGATCATTTATGAATAAAATAATGAGAATTCACTTGGCTGTCTTTCTTTAAACGGCGAGATTAAAATCGCTTAATATCTTTCTTAAAATTAATGAATTCGATACTTATCAACTGGATTATGCTCAATTTCTATGTTCCCATTGGGACTCGAACTCAATTGTTTATTTTCTTTATTCTACAACACGTTAATAATGATAGTAATAATAATATGGTTCATTAGTTATACTCATATCAATAATTACAAATGACATACTCTGAATGAATATGATTTAACTCTATTGAAACCATTCTAGGTCATTATATTGTAATCAGCAATCAAACATGTTTTCTTTCGGTGAAGTCAATCACAAGTGTGGCAACATAACTTCAGTTTTGTGTGTGTGTATGTGTGTGTTTAATTACTTCATGAAGTGATTAAGATTGATAAACGTAGTCATGATAATTATTGACCAGAAAGATAATCTGTTTCACATTACTTATAATGTTCTTCAATGGATTTACTACCAAGCGACGAGACTATAATTTATGAACGAACCGATTGGATATAAGATAAATGATCTCGGATTTTTGGCACGATATTCATTCATTCATCCATTTAGTTAAATAGCGTCTTGTCATTATGGATGTTGTTAGTTTATGATTAAAACTCGATATCTAGTGTTTAACCCTAACCGTCAACCGTAAATCATAATTCTAATTCCTCACACAACTTTATTACAATCATTTAGTCCTAGTTTGTAAATGGATATTCACAGGGTCTATTTATTTATTTATTTGGAAACATAGATATTGGTACAAGGGAGCACCAGATATATTTGTGTGAGGGCTGTGATACTGCACGAGTGCCCAAACCGAAGCAGGTGGTTTTCTGAGGGGGCCACACCCCTGAAGTCTATGTGCACCATTGGTTTGGAACCAGGGTATTCCAACTCCCCTAGGTGGATACTCCGCATCCACCAACCCAGTTAAAGCGCCAGACATTCACTTTTTGTCCTCTCAATTTTGTAAACAACACCCGTGCTGTGAGAAGGCAGTGAGCTGGACTTCCCTGGTAGTAGTTGTATGCACGTGGCAATGGGAGAGCTGACTCTTCCCACTCTCGGCCGTACCAGGGAATTTAGGGGCGGATCACTTTATCATCGCTCAAAGGTCGTCCATAAATTATAGTCTCACCAAAACGAAATATAATGTGAATGCAGTAAGATAATCAAAATGTTTTTGTTACAATAATTGAAGGTAATTAAAGGTAATAGAGGTTGAAAACGACAGCTGGCTATGGTCTATTTACCTAATTCCACAAGAGCAGATGAACAACTGATAGATACGATTGTATAGCTTGATAATAAATTTGATGAAAAGAGATCTTTTTCGTTGAACTTTCTGTTCTTAATGTTTAAATGGGAATTATATATTAATTATAATTTCCTCTGAGGCTTCTTTGTTCAATAACAATTTATGTTTAACAAAATAGACAACCAAAAATAGACTTGAGTTATCAGAGGCTAAGTAATAAGTATTACAATACTATTGGGAATAAATATAAACTACGCTTGTAGCTCTTCTAAAGTTACTACCGATTCTAAACTCGAATAAAGGAGGAGGGTTAGGCATGAAGTCGGCAATCCCCATCCCGTAGGAACTAAATCTTGCTAAAATAAAAATAAAACGCCGATCAGATTAAACAATTGGGAATAAAAATTAGCCTAAGAAGCCACTAATTATTACACACAATTTTTGTTACAAATTAATATAAATGAAAATTATTTTCAGAAATAGTTCTGTTTATATTAAAGTGGATAGGTGTATGTTTGTGTAGGTGTGTGTGTGCGCACACCAGAGAGATTCTTCTAATTTTATCGATTGTCCTTACTATTTCCCCTATGGCATTTCTTAATGTCATTTCTCCTCAATCTCTCTCTCTCTTTGTAAGATGACTGGTAATTTATGAGAGGTATACATATGTAAGATTAATTAATGGAAAGAGATATCTCAAGCTTCATACAAATGAGAATAAAGAATGATTTACCAGAGACCAAGGGTTTTTGATTGAGATCATGAATTGATTGATGTTAGACCACCGTTGGAAACCTGGAAGCAGTGGATGTTCGTTTCGTCCAATTGTGGGACTCCTCAGCAGTGCGCATCCACGATCCCGCTCAAGGGATTTGAACCCAGGGCCTTCAATCTCGCACGCGAACACTTAACCTATTGGATTACTGAACTGGCATTCAATGGTGTTAGTGTCTAATATCAACCAATCCACGAAATTGCGCGACCATCTTCCATTGTACTGATGCAGATACCTGTCTCTACGCGACACGGATTAGCTTCAAGGGTTTATCACTGAATTTATTTGTTGTTAAATGAACAAGAATAAAGTGTAATTCTGATTAGAAAAACTAATTATGTTGATGATGATGATGATGTAAGAAGTGTGGTAAACAAAATGAAAGTGTTTTATTTTTCTTTCTTAGTATACAATTGAATGAAATTTTCATGGAAGTGAATGAATGAATGAATGAAGAGGGTAAAATGTACTGAAGTAGATGATGTGCGTTTATATCTAAGTAATGTTTTCTATTGTATATTTAGTTTCATTTGAAGTGGATAAAATCACACACACACACAATGAGAAGTAGTTGAATGTGAGTGATTTGCAGAGAGAACACTCATTGTGATAATAAAAACTTTACATTTGATTCTTAGACTCACAAAATGTTTGCTAAATTTCAACTCAAATGATAACAATTTAAGGATTGTTTTAGGGGGTCCCCCCCCCGAAAAATATAAATCAAACAAAAATTTGGAACAGGTATGTACAACGTAGCAGTTTTATGTTTGTGGTGAATTGAAAAAAAAACTCTCTAGAGTCCAGTTTCTAAAATAGGATTCAGTATTTTATAAAACACTGAAACCTGTCTTCTATTTAATGGAGAGTTGGTACCCATCGGTAAGATGTACGTACCTTCATTTTTAAAGGGGATTGAGCAGTTGTGTGAGTTTCGAACCCGTGTCATCCTATTTTCACTGTCTAGGTTGTTACCACTGAGTTCTTACGACTGTGACTGACCACCTGCGTGGCCTATGTATTTACAACTGACTGATCGCTGATTAGTGATCAATATTTTGTTCTCCGAGTCCCCTATAGTTCTGGTTGTATTCTGTTTCACAGAGAACATCACTTCTCTTAAAATTATGGATGACAGTCAACTAAAACCAACTAAATCCAAGCGAAGCAGGGTCTTCTGTCCACTACTTTTAATTGTCCTAATATCTCGACAGTATACACGCTATGTCAAATCACCTAAATTAGTGACTACACTGCAAACTTTATCAACATAATTTGATCACCACTAGGCAGAACTAGACAAACATGATATTTATCAGTACTCAGTGGTTAAATAATTGTTATTACTATGTTAATCTTTATTACCAGTCAGAATCTCTGGATAGAGATCTGTCATTATTGTTACCATCATTGTCATTGTAACATCTGATTGAATTTCTATTGTAAACAAGACTTAAGAAATTATTATATACTTTTAGTGTCAACCAACTATATCGATCGGGAATCCGATCTGATTTTTGTGTACTTTTTACTCATTTCTTCTATGTTTTCTCTCTTTTTTCTTGTCAGGTATTTTCATCTACGTGTTTGGGTGTTATTTTCTCTCCTGTTCAGCGTTATTTCTCCTTCTCTTCCTCCTCCTCCTACAACTCTAGTTTTGTTATATTGATTAGTAGTTGAAATGTTGGTTCAGTGAATTGACAGAAGTGGATGATGATTCCGCGTTCTTTCTTTCACCCCCCCTCCAATTTTTCATGATTATGTAATAAGTTAATGTGTTTTGTCTAATTTGTGTGTTCTATCTTATTATTCATAATATTAGATTTGATTTTTTTTGGCAATTAGAATTCAATTCATTTTGATGTAACTTACTTTGGAATGCCGTATATCTGGATGTCTGTACACACACACACACACACACAACTACATATACCCAGAAATGAAAAAAATAACCAGATCATCATTATTATTGAATAAACATTAAATTCTGTGTATTTTTTCCCTAATGTAATCGTATTTTGTTGTTATGAGATGTTTAATTATCCCAAACTGGATTGAATTTTCAGAGTGACTTCTTGTTGTTATTGTTGTTGTGAACGTAGTGATGATGCTTTCTGTTTCATGGTTAATTGCGTAATAAATGGATAAATTATTTTAAATGAGTTTGACATTGTATCTAGTTGATAAGGTTGTAAGAATCGTACTTTTACATCCCCATTGTAGCAAGGTGTACCTGTAATCTTGAGGGAACTGGTGCAACCTGATGAATTCGATCCCGTGTCACCCAGCTTCACAGTCAGAGACGTTACCACTGAGTTATCCAAGCTGCAATGTCAAGTCACCTAGACTAGTGGCCACATTGCAACGTGGTCGATGACATTCGATCTGCACTAAGAAGGACTTGACACGTATGACATTGATCACCACCAAGTGATCAATCAATTGTGATTACATCTCAGTCATACAGGAGGTCAGTCGCTGTCCGGATAGCTCAGTGGTAACGTCTCTGACTGTGAAGCTGGGTGACACGAGATCAAATCAGTCAGGAAACATCGGTTACCTCAAGATCACAGGTACACCATGCTGACGAGTGCCAAGTAGCACGAAACTTCAGTTCAGGGTTTCCTGTTGACTACCTCCAACCACCATCTGATATATCGCCTATCCTCGTATATTTCTATCAACTTAATCCGTATTGGTGAATAATGGAATTAAATAAGTCAAACAAGAGAATGGATTTCGAATAAGTGTATTTCATGCACTCATTGATCTGGACAATCAGAAGGACGAGGTGAAGAGAAGAGAGCGAAGTGAAATGATGCGCGGTGGAGGCGTGTAAGCCAACTTCATTAATCAATATTTATTGCTAGATAAAAATGTTACAGACATGTGATGAGTAGGATAAGAAGTGTACACACACACTCATATAAAAACAGGGTTGATAAGCGAATAATTAACAAGGTGAAAACGTGACTCAACAAGAACGGATAAATTGGCCTGTCCAGAAGCTATTTGGGCTCGACATACGACCAGCTACTAAAGTTACTTATTTACACCTGTTGTCCCTCACGGAGCATAGGTCATTCAATTATCCTGCTTTATTCGGGATTGAGAGTGGGAGTAACCCCAGATGGGCTCAATATTCCGACTCCACACGCGGGAATAGAACTCATGACCTTCGGTATAACGAGAGGACGCTTGACTTCTAAACTGCACATTGATTAAAGTCAGACGTCAACACCACTGAATACTGAATTAGTGGTTTACATCCATATTGTGTGACCGTAGTCAACATTTAGTTCATTGGATAGCCACACAAAATGATAAATGAATTACATCATACTCCATGTAGTGTTAATTGCAAAGAAAATCCATAAAACAATTAGTACTGAGTATTAAATTACAACCAACACTGGTATAATTCTCATTATCATATGTTGGTTTCAATTATAAGAAGATATATCGTGAACTATTCTATGCGTTTCTTTCCTTTAAGAAAAGATCGTCGGTCAATTATTATTGAGTTCCAAGTAGTGAGGTGGTGGATATGCAATAACACTCAGAAGTAGGGTACTAGATGAAACAATTATCAATAAAAGAATAATGTAAGGATCAGTCAATTAAGAACCAACAATGAGACTCATACCTATCCGTGTGATTCAAATATCACATATGACAAGAAAAAGAAATATCGTTGCATACTGCTTAAAACGTTTAAAATAGTAGCGTGGAGTTATTCTTGTCCATCACAGATTAAAGGCGATGGTGTTGAATATACTAAATGCTTACTTCTCTCACTTTAAACGTTATATGACAGGCAAGTCGACAGTATCCCCAAATCTTAACCCTAAACACTATTCTGAAACCGATCTCAAAGTGATGACACAATATTTTATGGATGAACTAACCAGATAGCGACTCTTGGATATTTGAGTGTAATTCGTTCATCCATATGGTTATAAAGCATTGGTTGTACTAAAGGTGGTATCAGTTCGTGAAGAAAAGCCAGACCATAAACCCTTAAACTTAACCCTAAATACTTAATTCTAACAAGAAACAGTGCGGGGGCTCTTGGAAATCTGTTTGAATCATCTTAATGATTCGAGAATATGGACAATCTGTATCCACAAACACGAGATTTTTCATCATTTTTTTTCACTTTGCAGATAGATGAACCTGTCGAAGACATTAATAGATCTATCAGTTGTATACAATCTGTTTACTTTTGAAGCATCATTGTTTTCTTTCCTAAAAACTACCCATTTATAATATGTGTTTTCTGATTGTCTAGTAACTAGTTGGAAATTCGTCACGGTTGTTCTAAGCTCATCCATATACTATGTTCTTACTCAAATGTCCAATGCTTCCTTGTTTTTCATGGCTGTCCATGATGAAAACTACAAAATCTAACAATTTCTCTAAAGTATGCTAGCTGAAAACCTCCCCGATTCTCACCAGTGACTCGTTTCGCAAGCCAACTCCTACTATTCTAGTGAAAAGCCGTGGCTAGCAGAACTCAATCATGTCTGGTGTAAGATATTTATCCAATAATGACACTAGATATTAGTTAAGTAGTACAGCGGACCAATTTCAGTTAAACATTCCAAACCGTCGGATCCCAACTCATTAGTCTATAAGATGCGTATTGCTACTGAAGAGTCTGATATTATTATGAAACAGCTATCTAATGCTTCCTAGTTTCAAACGTTTATCTCAATAGGGTCGGTTTTTGAATATGAACTATGAAATTATTATTTCGCTTTTTAAGATTAAATTATAAGAGTGAACACTATACTTAATGTATATTTCAAAGAACTATTAAGTGATTGTTCAGTATACTCAGTTCAGTTTTTCTAAGTCAGTCAGTAACAGCCTGACAATCAATGTTAGCTGTAGGAATGAATGATTTATGTTTAAATCCTTTAAGGAAATAATATATGATTATCGTTTTTAATTCATTAGGCCAAATACCGGTAAGTCTGTTATACGGACGAATTTCAATAACTTGTAGTGACCTACTTTTATCAAGAGAACGCGATTGGTTTAATGGAATCAATTATTATTATAACCAATAGTACCAGTGATTGATTTACTGCGCTTGTTTGTTTAACTGTACTAAAGACATCAATTATTTCTTCCTTCCGTTGGTTGTGACCTTTCACGAACTTACGTTTGCTCAGTAAATTCGCTTGTACTCCTTTGATACGATCTAGGTATTCTTTCGATACCACGAGATCACCAACAAATATATATCGCTACAACCTTCAACCGCCTTCTGTAATGGTGATCATAGTCAACCCTGACTCGACACCACACTACAAACTATTGAATGTTCTCGGAAAAGAAAAGTTGATCTGTATCCACTAAAAAACCAAGTGATATGAGTGGATAATTGATCGCATAAAAATCCCCAAAAAGACCAAATGTTAAATTCATTAGGATTACGATTAAATTCACTTAAATAATGTATCCGATAGTTGTCTGAGTTAGATGAATGTCCAGATTACACGGGAATAACTATCAATAAATAATATATATATAGTTACGCAGAAAGTCATAATTAGTTAAAGATAAGATTACAGTCTGGCACAAAGCAGTCAAGTGCGGAAAAAAAGAAATTCCCAAGCAGAGTTGGATGGTGTTTAGCAATGCAATTCACAATATACATCGTTTAGTTCTATTTGTCATTCACTTGATAGATGTACCAACTACATCACACATTTGATAATCATTTCGAAACTAGAACTCAATACCATTCACGTCAAACTCAATTCCGTTATCCAATTAACTACTCAGTTCAGATACACACCGACTTGTGTAACAGGGTGGATTTTAATCAATATTCATTGTTTGTTTGAATTTTCTCAATATTTATCTGAGCTCATTAGCTGGGTGGATAACGTGATGGCGTTTGAAGCAAACCTTAATGTTTCCGAGTATTAGAGTGAACATCAGCTGACGAATCACGCGTCAAACTGAATCCCATTACTAGCCACCATTCATCTTTGCTTATAAAGCTTGTGAATTGAGGTAATATCGAGACAGTCCGCATAAATGCAGATCTAAACGACAACGGGAAGATACAAGTAAACAACATCAAGTGAATTTATTGTTATTGTTAATGTTATTCTAACAATAGAAATGAAAAATGTATAATCATTGGCCAGAACAGATAATTAGAGACAGAGTGAAGGAAGCGAGCAGGAGAGAGCGAAGTGAAACAGATTTGAGAAGGTATGTTAGCCAACTCGATTTAACCAAGCGCCAGATAAACAGTCACAGTGGATAAGTGAATAAGTGACAAGGTCAAAATGTAGCTTGAGAAGAATGGGTAGATCAGTTTGTCCAGAAGCTAGGATAATCTATATGGGTATGACATAGGGCCAGCCACCGCAAATTTTTCATGATAGTTTTACATGAATGTGTAAATATTTCATAATTGATAATAAGATAAATTACCACTAGTTTGGACGAATTGTGGAAATTGTTGAGCCTCATAATTTACGTGAAGAACTGATCTTAATTAAATAACTACTGGATAGCTGTTTTATTCTAATATGGAATCCCCTAATGGGATTATGCATCCACAACTCTACCCGATCGAGATCTCTTGACCAATACTTAACTTTCCAATTATTGAGCTGGTATCCAATGATTTGGATAATCTGGATTTAATCAATTCACTTTATTGTGTAAACAGTATCCAATACCACTAATGGGTAACTGTCTAACACTTGGCATGGTTGAACTGACAAACATGACATTGATCACCTGTAGTGTCGGTTATTATGTTTAGCCCATATACCTTATTCTAGCTTCTGGACAGGCCAATTTATACCTTCTTGTTGAGTCACGTTTTGATCCTGTTAATTATTTGCTTATCAACCCTGTTTTTATATAAGTGTGTGTGTACACTTCTTATCCTACTCATCACATGTCTGTAACTATTTTTATCTGACTATGAGTATTGATTAACGCTGAATTAAATGGAGTTGGCTCACATATCTTCTCCACTGCGAGTCATTTCGATTCGCTCTCTTCTCTTCACTTCATTCCCTGATTGCCTGTTAAAATTAACGAGTGCATGAAATATACATATTCAAACATCCATTCTCGCATTCGGCTTATTTAATTACGTTATTCACCAACGCGAGTT